GTATGTATGTTTCTCGCGCTGACAAAACAACTGTGATAAAACAACGGTATCTAGGGCCATAAAAATTTTTGAATAAATCCAGCGAATATGGGCATCTGAAAGTCCTAAATTTGTTTTATTATCTATTTCATGTTTTGTAACACTGTAACGAATTTTTGACTAACAAATTCATTGTTTTCAAAGCGAGCAATAAGAGCACTGTACAAAAAAAAAAAAAAAAAAAAAAATCTTCAGAGCGCGGGATTGTGAATCTGAAATTTTAAAGATAGACTTATTTTATTTTAAAATTATTTTGGAATACTGCTGTTGAATTTTATGTTTTAAATGCAAACAATGTGATATTGAATAAATAAACAAAACGTTAAAAAAGCCCCTTTGTGCGTAACGTAAAATTTGAAAGCGTTCACATTCTTTTTTTCACTGTAATCACTATCGTTTTTGCTTGTTTCTCACAATATCTTTATTGAAACAAATTTATGCGCGAGGAGATCACCATCATCAATTTGCTTAGACCTTTAAGACCCTGGGCCTGAGCCTTCTGTTTCCAAGTGGCCCCCAAACAAAACTGTGCTGGAAACTCCAGATTAACGTAGTAGCGACTTTGGTCAGACAGCTATTTGAAGAATAGTCTACCGTGCATGTTTCTCTCAAAAACAATATTTTTGTTCCTTCGTGACGAGCCCACCTGTGACCGAGCGGTAAAGACGCTGAACACTGGTAGTTCGGTCCGAGGTTCAAATCCCGCGAACGCGTTGGCTGGGTGGGCTTTTTCGTGCTTTTCCCCCATGTGTAACGTGTTTACGAGCAAGATTCCCTTAGAAAGTCCTCCACGAGGGTATTCCTCCCCCTTAGGTAGATAGCTCTCGAAGCTCTGCCGTAATCACATAAACCAAACCAAGCCCTCAAGGAGACGGATCCCATACCTAGGAAACATTAGACTTTTCCGTTAAAAATCAACATAAATCCAAAGTCAATCTTCGCCTAATTTAAAGCAAATACATATATTTCTGAGTCCAAGTTGTTTAAAAATGGAGATAATAGCTTTCTTTCATGTTAAAAAAAAAAAAAAAAAAAAAAAAAAAAAAAACTGTTTACTAATAAAACGTAAACCTTAATAAACGTAAACTAATAAAATTGTGCGCTGTATTTTCAACATGCAATTTCACTTAGTGAAATTTCCTAAAAAAATGAGATGAATTTTCCCTTGATATTTAATTACTATTTACCAACTTGATCACTATAGATACAAGAGCTACGAATGTTCTTAGACATAATGCAATGGGTTTTATTGTTGTAACATTTAATTAATTCTATTCATGTTAGAATGTCATTCTAAGAGACATTCAGTTCATGTTTCTTCGAAAGTAAAACTCGTCAAAAAGTGATTTGACTCTGAATTGTGTAAGTTACAGTAACTAAGAACAGGAATGTGCTCGTGACATTTTAACCTTCACATATACACCAAGAAATCCTGCATTATTTTCATAATGCGAAAAACCTAAGGAAAAGTCTTCAAGGATTTAGGAATTCTTTCCTCCTTTAAAACATTATTCACGTGTACGGATATTCACAGTTAAAGGGTTGCTCACTTTTTTAGTAATATACTTGTATTGCCCCTGTTTTTAATTATCATCCAATTACACTGGATAACAAATCACTTTCTTTAGTAATATATTATTCTTTTTTCTAATGATCATCCAATTACACTGGATAACAAATCACTTTCTTTAGTAATATATTATTCTTTTTTCTAATGATCATCCAATTATATTGGATAGCAAATCACTTTTAGTAGTAAATTATTCTTGTTTTTAATTACTATCATCGAATTACACTGGATAACAAATTACATTCTTTAATAATATATACTCTTGTTCTTAATTATCATTGAATTACCCTGGATAAGAAATCACTTTCTTTAATAATTTATTAGTCTTGTTTTTAATGATCATCGAATTATACTGGATAACCAATATTGATTTTTCGGATGTTTCCTTAATCCATTGCAGCTTTTCTTTATACACCGACTACCAATAAGTATTTGGACCTGTGAAGAAGAAAAAATAACTTTTTTCAAAATCAATATTGTAGAGCCTCCACGAGAGCTAATTACAGCGTGGACTCTCCGGGGCATACTTTCACAATCTTTGTATGACAGCTAGTGGTATTTTCTTCCACTCGGCTTGGAGAGACATAGAAGTTCCTTCACCGATTTTGCACGGGTAGTGCACCCCTGGCATTCGGCGATGCAATTCGTCCCAGAGGTTCTCGATAGGGTTCAGGTCTGGACTTTGGGCAGGCCAGCCCATTCGATGAACTCCATTGGCACCATACCAAGCTTTGGTTAACGTCGAAACTGACAACTGGCATTGTCGTCCTGAAAGTAACAGGGGTCCAAACCGTAAAACTGCCACAACTTAGGAAGCACAGTGTCATCCAAAATAGTGCAGTAGGCATCGAGTTGAGCTTACCATGAATGGGGACAAAGTGTCCCAGCCATACCAAGAAACACCCCCAGACCATAATTCCACCTCCGCCGAACTTGGTTGGCACAATGCATTCTGGAGGAGACGTTCTCCGGTAGACGCCAGACCCAGACCCTGCCATTCGAACGGTAAAGGGTGAACCTTGATTCGTCACTCCAAAGAACCCGTTTCCCTGATCTACGGTACAATTTCGATGTGCTTTGCACCACATTAACCGAGCAGCACGTTGGACTTTGTGATCAAAGGCTTATGGGCAGAAGCACGACCATAAAACCAAGCAGATGTGCTTCCTTACGGATGGTATTCATTGAACAATACTCCGGTTTGCCTGTTGAAACTCCTCGCGGATGAGGGCCATTCGGTTGGGGTGCAGTTCTTCCGAATTTCTCTGGACAGCACTCGTCGTCTCTATCTCCCAGTTTCGTTGGTCTGCCGACTCGCGGGGCACATTCCGACAATCACCGCTCACTTTCCACTTCTTAATCACATAGGCCACTGTCGATTTTGGGTACTTCAGACCGCTAGATATGTCCCTTAAGGATCGGCCACATTTCTGATACCCGATAATTATACCTTTCTCGAAATCAGAGAGCTCCGAACTGCGAGGCATCTTGCATGCGACTAAAGCCGATACTGTTTCCTACATGATATATACCAGCGGAGTCCGTGACGTGCCTTAAGACCACATATATCGTCATTCGCATAGGTGTCCAAATACTTATTGGTAGTCAGTGTATATTCTGAGCGATTGAAAACGAGTAAACAAAATATATGTTTTAAAAGATAATCTAATATACTTAAAGGGCAGCTTAAAATTTTTGGAACTTCGGATCTTCGACAGCTTTTTTTCGCTTAGTTTGAGATTAGCTACTTCTTATCGTCCAGTAGTAGTTCACAAACGTAGCTGCATTCCACCTACCTTCGTGCCCACCAGCGACCGAGCGATAAAGTCACTGAACACTGGTAGTTTGGCCAGAGGTTCGAATCACGGAAACGGACTGAGCGCCGCCTGATACCGACCTGACTTTCTTGTAAGTCTTACACTGTTAATAGTCATCCTGGCAGAAGGGAATATTTCCTCCGTTATTAAAAATATAAATATAAATATTACATGGGCATACAAGGTCTGTGTATAAGCATAGATATGTTGATTACAAACATTGTCTTGTATAAGTTACGTAATTAATTAAAAAATAAGGACAGCTATCGTACATTTAAACATATCTGAATCATATTACAATATTTTACTGAAAATCAAAGTAAACTTGTAATTCAGTTACACATTGACTGGATTTTCAATATCATTTAAAGTACTTTGCAATATTATTTTTATCAAGTACATACAAACTGGATAGCAATATGCTTACATTACAAGAGTTTTACTCTTACAGTCCTGTTACTATTCTATGGGGGTGAGCTATTTTTCTAGTGTTGATTTTCAGTTGTTGTAGTAGTTGGAATTGCTATTAAAATTGTGCTGCGAAGATCAATTCTCAGGGAAGGGGGACAATTTCTTAGTACCTTGATGAGCATAGCCTGATTACCTCCTCTATTTTAGTTTTGGTTTGCTTGTTGCTGCAGGTATTTTTAAATGCAGTTTTCGGTTTGTGGGCAGTTGAAGAGGAAGTGATCTGCATCACCTGCCGCACCACATTCACACAATTCTGATGCTCGTTTGCCGAATCTCTTAAGATAATGTGGGAAGGGGGGCATGGCCAGTATAGAATTGAATTTGTGCTCCGCTGTATGTATTAATGAGCATTTAACTTTAGGAAAAAAACTTGTAGGTTTTTCTTCCTGTGCTTTCCCTTTCCCATCTTTTCTGCCATTCTTGTAAAACGCTTTCCTTTCTTTTCACCATCGATGGAACAGCTGGCCCACTGGGTTAGGTGCTTTTCAGCCTTTTGGAACCCGTCGATGGAATTAAAAAAAAATACATGAATAAATATAAATAAAGAGCTTAGTACTGTGTCCTCCGGGGATTGGCCACGAAACAAGGAACATTGAAGTAAGGACCAGAACATGGAAAGAAGGTGCATGGGGGGACTGCTGAGACTAAGCGGAACACTTTTTCTTGTAAAAAGCTAATCCGCGTGATTTTTTTTTCAATAGGACTGCGAAACATTTACTGCGTTTTCCAATCTACTGGAGTTACTGGACGCAAACGGACTGGCTACATGAGCGGTTTCGTGTTTTTTCCCCATGTGTAACGTGTATACGAGGCAGTTTCCCTTAGAAGGTCTTCCCCGAAGGTATCCCTCCCTTAGGCAGGTAGTAGCCCTCGAGGCTTTGTCGTGGTCACATAAACCAAAACACTTACCTTCGTGTCGGTTCTCGAACGACGAAACTTCCTGATAAATCCTTTCTCCCTACACAATCTAAACTTTTACTGTACTGAGATTTTGTTTTCAGAATAAAGACAAAACAAAATTTAGAATCCAAAAAAGAACGTGAATTATAATCACATCAATGCACAAAAGGAGACTTAAAAACTAATTACGATTTCTTACGAACCCAATACGGAATGAGGTTTCCAGAATCCCTGTGCGAGGACCTACGTGAATACATCGTTCATGATTTCCGCTCGGGTGTGAAAAGACGACTCCGTAAAAAGGTTCGTCAAATTTCATGTTGACAGTCATGTGATCCTTACTGCACACGACGTCGAGACTCTGCAGGTGAGAACTTGGCTGTGGTTCGTCCACGTGGTTCTCGTAATCCTGGAACACAAGAAACGAAATACTTGCTGATTTTGAAAAAATAATGATATCATTCTAGTGAATTAAAACCGAGTACAAGTATATCTTCGTACAATTTCTATCGTACATGAACTTCCAAAATGGTGAAAGTTATTGAAAGGATTTTAAGAAGCTGATATCCTTTTACAAAAATTAAAGCAAATATGAACCATACGACGTCCTCAAATGCAGTTGTCTTAACGCGACATGATACAAATAAATAAATATTACATTTTAACGATGGTAAAAATGTATTCTTGTCCTGAAGATATATTTTGATAAAATGATAACCGATGTTTAAATACAAGGTACACAAACTCTGTAAGTACACTTCTGTGCAAAAATTAAGGGCGAAGTTGAAACATTCGTTTATCAGTGGAATGAAGAGGTAGAGCGGACTCAAAGACCAATCAGAAGATCGACTGGGGTCAGGTACGGTAGCACGTGCGCATACATGCAGCTAGAAGTTATAAATAGCTAGACTGCTCGGATAGTAGGAGTGTGAGCTCGGCATTTCTAGGAAGCTATTGCACAGCGTATGTGAATTTAAAGAATGTCGAGTTGCTGCCTCATTGCAAAATGTCGAACAATCAATCTGTTGGATGACATCTGGAATATTTTACACGAGGTCGAGTCATTGGAAAGACTGAGGAAGGTCCAAGTGTGGCTGCGGTGTTCAGGATTGCTCAGAGCATCGTTTCACGACTTTGAAGAGCATTTCTAACTACAGTATAACAGCTGGCCGATGGTTCAGCAATGGTCATCCTAACTACATTAATTTCAAGTTAAATCTTAATTTGGAATACAAGTTTAAATGCAAGAATTATTTCAATTCGTACGTATAGTTTACTCAGAAATTATGTAAAACCTTAGTGCTTTACTTCATTAATGCATTCTCATTAGAATAGATGAGTTAAACCTTTAAGTTTGCCTGAGGGCTTTGTGCCTAAGGGCAGCTTAAATTAGATTAGATAAAAATGTGGTAAAGTTTAAATTAGGTTAATTGATTAAGGCAAGGTAACTCGACAGCTACCTGCCTATGAAGGAAAAGAATACGAATTAATTATCTTAAAAGGTGCTAAAGAATTTATAACGTACGACAAAGTATTTATAAATTTCGTACTGCAAGCCCCCCCCCCAGCGGCCGAGCGGTAAAGTCACTGAACACTGGTAGTTCGGTCCGAGTTAAAATCCCGCGAACGGGCTGGCTGCATGGGAGTTTTTGTGGTTTTCCCTATGTGTAACGTGTATACGAGCCAGTTTCCCTTAGAAAGTCCTCCAGAAAGGCATCCCTTTCCTTAGGCAGATAGCCCTAGTGTGCTTTGCCATAATTGAACAAAACCTTTTAAGGAAAACTAGCTCGCATTTACTTTACACATGGAGAAAAACACAACAACTCCCGTGCAGTCAAGCCCTTGGACAAGATTTGAACTCAGGAGCACCAGAGTGTGATAAAATGAGCCATTAATAATATGAACTTATTAATAATAATTTTATAGTTTTCGCCGTAACCAGTTTTATAAACATTTCGGTCATTAGAATACCAAAAAGATTCTTTTGAAATACTGTATGTTGTTTTTACTTCCTTGTACGAAGTAAAAAGGAAGTATTGTAATCGCGAAAATTTCAGGCAGCAATTTAACGAAAATATCCATTTGACCGCTTTCCAATGCAATTTAAACAGGTTTTGCGTGATATTGTACGAAGATAGAATAAAGACTTTCCTCCAAAAATTATAAAACTGTTTAAAATGAATTCTGAAGAGAATTCTGCGTCTGTACAAAGTAGTACGAACGATCCATAACTCAAAGAGACTCAAACGTTGAAATTTGCTTATAGAACTGCAAAGAATGTAAATGTGCACCTCTATTTGTTCAATCGGCCACACAAATTATACAAAATATTTATATGATCCACTCTGTACCCGGCGCAGTGATCACAGTTTCTTTACCTATTGTTGTATTGTACTTTTTGCGTTAAATATATGACTTATTTTTCTATCTCCGGTTGACGTTTTTTTTATGCCTTTAGGGAATCTGACGCAGATGTTAGAATATCAACAATTTTAAAGTTGTTAGTCCGCTAAGCCAATAATTTTTTGATGGCGCCATTGCTGTTTACTTGAAACAGCAGAGTAGTGATTGTTGCCAATCTAGAGAAAGTAGTCGCAAACAAGGATATGCTTCATTTATTCTTGCAATTTAAATATGCTTCACCTTCTGGATTTTTTCGAGGAATACGTTTAAGATTTACTTAATTTATAATATAATTAATTTTTAAAAATTAGCATTTTATATAGATATTTTGAGTTTTTATGTATTTTTGCCTTTCGCGAAGTGAGAATGATTAATGAATGAGAAATACTGAATGTCCTTGCGAAAAATTTTTGTTTGTTTCGTTTGCCAATTTCTTTATACACGTTCTAGCTTATTATGTATGAGTAGAAATGTGGCAACGTTTCGATAATTATTAAACGCTATTAATTTTGTGCATTCTGAGTTATAAATAGAAAAATATATAGTTAAGTGACTAGCGCCAGAGTGTTGCTATGTCAACAAATAGAGTGAATTTAAGCATGCATTTTTCTATTGTGGTTTCTGCTCTGTGTCGAAGTAGTTTAATTCAACCAAATATGTTTAAACGAAATGCAAGAAAAAATGCGTATAATTTAATATTCCGTACAAGAAAGTCATGTGGTGTACACATGAGATTTTTTAATTTAAAAAAATTATTTGGAATTGTATGATATCAAATTAAAATTTGATTTCTTTCATTCTTGGAAGAATTCAAAATAATGGTTTGAAGTCACTTCTGAACAGGAAATTCACTCAAAATAAAAACGCTACATACATGATGATGGTCTCCCCAACCTGTTACTGCGGACGCCAATCCCCAAAACATCATCAGAAGTGCAAGTATCATCGCCTGGCTTGCAGCTGAGGAAGAAAAAAAAAAGAAACATTTGTAACAAATGTAACAAAGAGCAAAGCAGGCATATTAACAATCCCGTAAAAACTGTCGTTAATACTCACCTTGCTTGTAAATTAAGTAATAACAAAATAGTTTTCTAATGCAATACCCATCACAATCAGTTTGTCGAATATAATGCTTTAGAGCAGGAATCGCCAAACCTTCGATCGCGAGCTACTGGTACCTTGGAAATACATTTTCGGTAGATCCCGTTAACGCTCCGGTTTTGTAAGCAAAAAAACTTACTATTTTCATTCGGAATGGGAAACCGATTACTTCTTTACCTGGGTAAAGGACATATGTGTGTGTTTTACTGTGCTATGTCCTGATCACTACATCCTACAATGTCCCCTGACTACAACTTACCATGTTCGGCATCCCACGAACCCCGGAATAGAATTCCTAAGGTTACTATCAAGCGGAGAATGTGTATGAGACCTCGAAAGTTAATAGAGACACTACACATATTACTCGACTGTCCCCCAGAATAAAATCAAGCACAAAGCCCTAACGGCAACGTAATCTCAAAGCTTATCTCATAATATGTCCCCAAAAGGACTAGATATAACGCAGCTACATTTATATTGTACAGTGCCTGAATCCCTGGTACTATGCATTGTTCCTGTAAAGTTGCACATACTCACAAGAAGAAGTCTATCGTAACAGGGGTCCTACGACACCTTAAACTAACCACCTTAAACATTAACAGAATCTAACCAGGTAGAACGACCATTTCACTGGTATGAACAGTGATCAGGATCAAATGAATAATTCATCAAAGTAATGTTAAATAGTGCACCCGTGGACCGTAATCTGAATTGACTTGGACAAAGGAACCTACCTATCTAAGACCGCAGTACACCATCAATCATACTCAAATGTAACACCTAGGTTCATACAGCATATGCTATGCCACAACCACAAGCTCTATATGAACATAACCTCGTGCATTGTAAATAGCTGTAATAGTATATATGCTATGCGTTGAACATACTTTTGCATGTAAATGTATTTAAAATGTGTGATAATGGCTTATGTCCGATGTGTGAAGTATGTTGTAAAGTATGTTGCGCTATGTCCTACGTGTTAGTTTTTTTAGGATATGTCCTATGTTACTGTAATCAGGTACCCTGTGGAAATGGGCGGGCCAAAAACCAACAAGCTCTATAATGAATATATCTCTTACTATGTCCTATGTATACGTATCAGGTCCCCGGTGAATGGCGGTACGCCGAGAAGTAGTACATGGGGGCTATACCATTTTTGTCATGGCGAGGCGTGGTGCCCCTGTACTTGTTCCGTCCGTCCTTGCTATGCAGTGTTTCATGTATGCCTTGGCCTATGCACCAGTCAACTTAACCTAAGAATCTGTAACTGCACCAATGTCACTGGAATGCCCCTAAACGGCAATGTAAACTTTTTCATGAGCTAAGTAAACTCCTGTGCACCTTGGGAAACAGGAGTTGTATCTCTAGATAGGGAGGGCGTAGACATAGCCGTCCTCCGTTAAACACCAGGCGTCTCATCCTCCGCACCTGTACTGTGCATATTTATATGACTCAGGTATTGCAGCGGGTGTAAGCAGTTTATCAGTGTATTCAGTATTATGAGTAACATATCTACATTAATGTACTTGGCATTTGTATTTGTTATTGTTACCATGAAGAACAAAATTGGAGATTTCGACGTTCACCGGAGAATATCAACATTCACAAATAGTCGTGAAAGATCAATATTCACTACATTCTCGTATTTCGGACCCTCACCGTTGTATATTGACAATCACAGATATGCTCTGGTGAAAGTCGAAAGAGCGGTCCAAAAGTGCCATTAGTTTAAGTTGTTGCAATAAAAAGATTTGAATCACTAATTTATAAGTTTTTATTACTGTTTTTTATTTTCTCATTTAGAACTACTTAATTAATAAGTTTTTAACTTCTATTATTTTCTTTTCTCATTTTGAATGTATGTGTGTTTTAGGTTCATGTTCTTAAGTTCTTATTTCAATTTTCGAGTGGTTTATTCGCGACGGAAAGACGAGAAGAAAAATAGAATATTTTATATGTTCAAACATTCACCGTCACAAGTCAGAAATAAGTATTTGGAAAATATTTCGGACAGAAACAAGAGGCTAGTGAATGTTGACATTCACCGGTGAAAAAACGACATTCTCCAGATTTCGGTGTTTCACCGTAACATATCAATGCATTTCAAAATTGATCCTCAGCATAAGACCTAACTATTCCAAATGTGTCTTTATTGCTAGGTCAGGTGTATCTTCTTCTGTAAAGCCCATGCACTCCTATAATAGTGTTTATGTGTCATGTGTGTGTTATGTCCATTTTTTTATGTGTACCATTGGTATGTAATGATACCTTGCAAACTAAATCTGTATACACAAATAGTCAATGTATCCTCATCTTCCCCTGTATGGCTATGTAATACTTCTCTTAAGATCTCAATAAACTCCCGGTAGATAGGGGAGGGCGCGGGACATATGTCTGTTTACCTCTGTTAAACACCAGGCATCTCCGTTCTCCGCCCCTGTGCTATGCAAGTGTATCAGTTCGTAAGAAAGTAGTGAATTCAGCAAACGCTTCCAAGATTTCAGTTGTTTGTCAAATCGTCTTTTATAGAAATTAAAGCTGAAGAGTTCTCTACTTGTTTTATGGAGCAGTTTAATTTTCAAGAAAACAGTGGCGTTGGAATAGGCTGTGGAATTGGAACTGATTAATTTTCAAGATGATTTATGTGTAAAATCGCTTTCTTCAATCTCTTTAAAGTATTATTCCTCTTGTTCCTTAACCCTAAAGAAAAATGGCCAATTTTGGTCCAGGTTTCTTTCAAAGTAAAGAGAATATTCAGCTGTACATATCTGTGAGATTTCTTTTTCCAGTATGGAATTTATTAAAAACAAGTACACGACTCACTGGTGAACATTTGGACAACTGGTATTCGAATGGTAGGGTAGCTACTAACTGCTTCCCCAACATTAAAAAGCTTAATGACAAAAAAGAAAAATATCCTCCATTACTGTTAATCAGTCTGATAAAAAAATCTTTCATTACTTTTGTTATTTGTTACTAAGTACACTTCAGGTTCTTTCTTAAGTACAATTCAATTTCAGTTTCTTTTCTTATATATAGTTTAATTAAATTAATTTAATATTTAATAAAAATGGGAGTTTATAGATAACAAAAAATGTATGATTTTTTTTAAACAGTTGATAGTTCTTTTGGCTAGCAGCTCAGAGTAGGAATTAAAAATGGTACATCAGCTCCGAAGCTTCATAAGTGTATATATTACCATGAAAGCCCGAAATTGGAGAATGTCGACTTTCACCGGAGAATGTCAACATTCACCAAATACGTCGGTGAAAGATCTAATATTTCTTTACATTCTTGTACATTCAGACCCTCACCGGTGTATGTCGACAATCACAGATATGCTCTGGTGGTAGGTCGAAAGAGAGGAGTGTATGTAACGCTGCCATTCCAAAGGAAGTGTTCCACAAATAAATGCAGTTGTAAAAGCAAGGGCCCCTTGTGCAATTCAAGTGTCATAATAGTTGTAAGTTTATGTATGGTAAGTTGTTGCAATAAATAAGATTTGAATCACATAATTTGGTAAGTTATAACTTCTTATTTTCTTTTCTCATTTTGAATTACTGTGTGTTTAAGTTTTATATTCTTAAGTTTATTCTGAGTCTCACGTGCGTTTTTTCGCGAATGAATTACGGAGAAGGAAGTATAATATTCTTATATGTTCACCCTTCACCATTAGTACATGGTGAATGTCGACATTCACCGGTGTAAGTCAGAAATAAGAGTATTTGGAAAATATTTCGGACATATACCAAGCGACTATGTGAATGTTGACATTCACCGGTGAAAGTCGACATTCTCCAGATTTCGGTGTTTCACCGTAATATATATATTGTAGCGGGCCCACCAGCGGCAGAGCGGTAAAGTCTCTGAACACCGGTAGTTCGATCCGAGGTTCGAATCCCGCGAACGGGCTAACTGCATGGGCGTTTTCGTGGTTTTTCCCATGTGTAACGTGTATACGAGCCAGTTCCCCTTAGAAAGTCTTCCACGAAGTCATCTCTCCCTTTAGGCAGAGAGCCCTCGTGTGCTTTGCCATAATTGAATAATCCAATCCGTATATATCGTAGCCCCACCACTAATAACTAGGTGCGCCCGCTATCGGGGTGTAACACTTTGTATAATGCAAACTGTGCATTGAAAATAAATTCCAATTTTTAAACTATAGTCCACTATTCCATAAATCAAACCTCCGTAACAATAAATTTGACGAAAACTGCCTTAAAGCAAGCATCTTCAAACTAGATTTCAAATAGAGTAATGGCTAAATAATAAATTCTTAGATTGTCATTTCTTTCAAATACTTCCAATCTTTTTAAATGAATGATAATCTTATCTAAATAAATCTAATCAATAAATTTCTCACTTTAATTTAACCTTTTGACTACGAATTAAAAAACACTTATTTTTACTTTGTTTACTATCCAAGCAAACAAAATATGTCATAAGTAAGGTAAATTTAGCATTTGGAAATTCTTTGATAAACGGTTTTCAAGCCAAAAGGAGAGGCACATTTGTTCCAATCGTAGCGATCGACTTATTATAAGCACACTTATTATTATGGAAAACTTTATTTTTTAAGTTTTATACTCTTCACAAGAAATAAAGTGCAAGAAGTGTGACTTTTGTACAGCAAAAATTGACCGAGATATTTGATATTAAAATCGGAGATCATATTTTCACGCGTCGTAGACAAATTCAAGAGCGAAATATTTGCATTTGTAAGTGACTAAAAATAAAATATTAGTTTACATATTTTATTATTTACTAAAACAATTGATTTGCTAAAAGTAAAGATTTCTGACATTAAAAGAATAAGTAATAGGATTTCAACGCAGATTATTGTGAAAAATATTGATCTT